CCGCTATAAGGTCACCCCGGAGCCTCCTCTTCTCCAGGCTGAACAGCCCCAACTCTTTCAGCCTGTCCTCATAGGAAAGGTGCTCCAGCCCTATGAGGTTAGTCAGGCAGCAAGTTGCAACCGCAGGCCCAAGCAGCTCAGAAATGCGCACCTTGTCAGATGGCACAGGATGGCCACAACGATCTGTTTGCGCTGTGTGACCTAGATACAGAAGATCTTCTGATTTCAAAATCAGGAAGATTTTTATTCAATTCAATAGGACTCATGTATATCGACTCCAAATGCAAATCCTAATAAACTCAAGTCTCCCACAAGGAACTTTTTTTTTCCCCCACCAACGAGATACTGAAAAAATTGAGAAAAACTGATGTTTCTATAGTGTGAGAAGAAATCTGCAGCTCTCCTGGTTTTATTTTGAGCCCACATGTAAGATTCATGGAGCTGGCAAAGGAGGTTGCACGTGGGAAAAGTGCACCTAGTAACACAGCTTCAAAGAGTTGCAGTCAATGACTCAATGTTCAGTGGGAGGCCAGTGACAAATGGTGTTCCTCAGGGGTCAGTACTGGGGCTGGTGCTGCTTAACATCTTTGTTGGCGACATGGACAGTGGGATCGAGTGCACCCTCAGAAAGTGTGCAGATGACACCAAGTTGTGTGGTGTTGTGGACACGCTGGAGGGAAGGGATGCCATTCAGAGGGACCTTGACAGGGGGCCTATGAGAGAACCTCATGAAGTTCTACAAGGCCAAGTGCAAAGCCCTGCACGTGGGTCAGGGCAATCCCAAGCACGAGTACAGGCTGGGCGGAGAATGGATTGGGAGAAGCCCTGAGGAAAGGGACTTAAGTACAGGCTGGGCGGAGAATGGATTGGGAGGAGCCCTGAGGAAAAGGACTTGGGAGTACTGGTGGATGAGAAGCTCAACATGAGCCAGCAATGTGCGCTTGCAGTGCAGAAAGCCAACCGTATCCTGGGCTGCATCCAAAGAAGCATAGCCAGCAGGTGGAGGGAGGTGATTCTGCCCCTTTACTCTGCTCTTGTGAGACTCCGCCTGGAATACTGCGTTCAGCTCTGGAGTCCCCAGCACAAGAAGGACATGGAGCTGCTGGAGCGGGTCCAGAGGAGGGCCACGAAGATGATCAGAGAGCTGGAGCACCTCTGCTATGAAGACAGGCTGAGAGAGCTGGGGCTGTTCAGCCTGGAGAAGAGAAGGCTCCAGGGTGATCTTATTGCAGCCTTCCAGTACTTAAAGGGGGCCTACAGGAAAGCTGGAGAGGGACTTTTTACAAGGGCATGTAGTGATAGGACAAGGGGCAATGGATTTAAACTGAAAGAAGGTGGATTTAGATTAAATATAAGGAAGAAATTTTTTACCATGAGTGTGGTGAAACACTGGAACAGGTTGCTCAGAGAACCTGTGGATGCCCCATCCCTGGAAGTGTTGAAGGCCAGGCTAGATGAGGCTTTGAGCAGCCTGATCTAGTGGAAGGTGTCCCTGCCCATGGCAGGGGGATTGGAACTGAATGATCTTTATGGCCCTATTCCAACCCAAACCATTGTATGATTCTAAGTTTAACGGGAGAGTCTTGGCCTTTAATTTGACTGTCCTTATCTGAGTCATTATTTCAGTATTATTTTAACATGGATTAATACCTTCAATAGATAAAAGTTCTGCCTTAGATGAACACTTTGGAAATACTATTTAGAAATAATGTCATCTTAGAAGAATTATATTTAATTCATTATCTAATACAACAGCAATATTTTGGTCTATTCTTCTTCAACAAAACCAGAAATTTTGCAGATCCAAAGAAATATTGTAAAAAGGCTGGCAGTTTCTATTAAAAAAAAAGGGAAAACGCTTTCAAAAATTATCAGAAACAAAGTGAGAAACTCAACCTGACCAAGCATTAAAATGTTTTCAACACAATTTTATATTTAATTTGGCTTTCTTCTTCCCCACTTCCCCCACACCGAGCACTAGAAGTGAAGGAGCTTTGTGCTTCCTGAATGTCTAAGTGCTTTTTACATCCAAAAAAGGTACCTGACTGCACAGACAATTGTTTGCTTTAGTTCACCTGCCCAGTGTGCAAGACCAAAACTACTTACGGGAATCCACAACTTGTACATGTCTCCTTTGCTAGCACCCAGACATTGCAAGGAATAAGTTACAATTTGTGACACCTGCATCAAGCAGGAATAGCAGAAATAAAGCAAATAGTGGCGTCAACCATCTTTTTAGAAGGATACAGGCCTTCAGCTGGGATGAAATTTATAAACAAAACCAACAACAGCCAGGAACGTGATTGTTTATGCTACTATGTAAATGTGGTAAAAACTACTACAATCTGTTTTTCTCTTCCTTCTGGCATTCCATTAGCTCTTATACTTAATCTTGAATTTTCGATCCTCCCCAAAATCCTGGTTGCCTTTACTTAGTTTATCTGTGACAGCAATTTCTCTACGTGACCAGGTGTCTGTATCTAATTAGTTTTATTTGTCTTTATCTTTGTTACAACTATAGTTTTACACAGACAGCAGTAACAAGCAGTTCTTCTAGGCAGAATCAAGGTATCTAACACAAAGATGTGACGTAGAGAAATGCAGGCCTGGTATGACAGCCTGGAGAAGCAGAGACTCAGGATGCAGTACAGAAGAGGGCAGGAATGGGGTGATAAGAAATGAGGCACAAGTTTGGCACTGAAGAACTCACAGCTATGAACAACTCAGAAATGATCAGTTAGAAACATGTAAATCCGGAGCCGGATAAAACTGGATTTAGAGGCAACAAAAAGTAGTATTTAATATTCATGAAGAGCACCATAAACAGTAAATTTGTATTTATGGATTTAGAGGCAACAAAAAGTAGTATTTAACATACATGAAGAGCACCATAAACAATAAATTTGTATTTCATCTGCAGCTACAGACCAATGAAAAAGAAAAGTATAAATGTGTGTAAGCAAACATGTAACAATGGCCACAAATGGAAGAGAAGAGGAAGATCATGGAATCATAGAATGACTTAGGTTGGAAATAAATAATTAGATCTAGACTATCGGTGATTCCTGAACTCGACTGTTAAGATTTCCATTGTACTAACAATAAATTCTTGACTTTACTTACACAGATAAGGCGTGCTTTCTTTGCACATAAACAAGATTCTGAGCATTAACAATTTGTGACCTGTTTTACGCATACTTTCTCCACACCCCCATCCCCCTGCTTTTCTAGTGGGGGAATTGTTGCCATTTACTCTTCAGTCTCCTTCCTCATATTTGCTCAAGTTTACCTTTAGTTCAACCTTGCAAAATTGTCATAGAAATTTATCAGTAGAATGATAGAAATTTATCATTCATTTCAACAGATAGTGATGCTGGGCTTACAAAAGGAGACAAACGAGTGAAAATGATAAATGTATGCAACAACGAATAGCACATGCAAGGCCAGTCAAGACTTTGGTTCACCCACCCTTCGAAACCAAGAACAAAGGACACTGAATGAAGGGTAAAAGGTGGCCATTTTCACTAAAAAGTAGTAATGATTTATCACATAACACTCAACACACTGAGGAACGCATACTGCACAAAAGTATACCTTCACACCAACTTGGCTTCAGCAAAAAAATTAACAAATTTTATATGGTGGGGATGTACCTTGCTGGATAAGGGCTTCTGCTGCAGGCTCCCCAGAACCTACGTTTACATACTCTTCATTAGGATGCTTTCTGTTGTAATGTCTCTTCAGGGAACCAGATATGTTGCAGGAGTAGTGGCAATGTGCACAACGGAAAGGCTAGGAGCAAAGAGGAAAATGTTAGAACGTATTTCCTGACCTCTTCAGGATACAGGTCTAAGCTGCAAGGCTTTGATTCCGAGAAATCGTGTTCATTTTTGATTTAGGTATCTTCCAAGGAGACCTTCCAAAATTCAATATAAATGGAAGTTCTAACTAAATGTTACCTAAAATTTAGTACTTTTTACTATGTGCAAGACACCAAGTATTCTCAACATTATAAGATTATTACCTACTTTTTGTAATTCAGTAAACTGTGTGTTTTCATAACGGATGATCACAGGTCTGACCACGTGGAGACTTTCTACTACAAGGAAATGACTCAGCTGCCATAAGCTTTGGTCTGAAAAGGGGGAGTAAGAGAGCTAAAATAACTGAAGGTACAACATGATTGTACAGCCAACCTAATTTAACAGATAACCGTACCTGACAGGGTTGATCTCTTCCCTTTCCTTTCCTTCTCTCTCCAACATGATCCCAAATGCTTCTCTTTCACTAGCACTTGCATTCATCTGACCATTTGGTGAGCTAAGTTTTGGAAACTAAATTAATTAAAGAACATACATCTCCCTTCAACTGACAAGGAGAGACATTTCTAAAGAAAAAAGCTCAAAAAATAAGCTTTTGTGCCTGAAGTTGGCCTTTGAAAATAACCTTCTGACTGAGCTATGTCACATTACAGGAAGCTTGACACACCATTAGGGTCCTGGAAAAGAATGTGGACATTGACCAAAGTAACTGAGGAAAAGCCAAGTACCTCAGAACAGGATGCAAAATGCTTCATGCCCAGCAACCAGGCCCACCTAAAGACAGTCAGCAGAAAATGGCTGGCACCGAAATGTTTATTAAGAAGCTGAACTTAAAGCAGGGAAATGTCTGCAGTCAGGGCCCATTGACCAGCTCCCCTAAGCTTGTTTCTCATGACCTTCCTTCAGGCTCCAAATAGTAAAACTAAGGGAATCTGAACACCACTTTTCTTCCTTAACCTTACAGAAATTCAGCAAGTACTGTAATATTCAGCTATTCAATTTTTCAGAGAGGGGTGCTCTCCTTTTCTAGTGCTCAAACTATTTTTTTTCAAGAAAATAATCCAGGCAGACTGCTGTGTTCTTGTACCACTCTTTACATACTTGCATGTTATCCGCTATCGGAAGCAGGATTGCAAAGTCATGGAGCTTGGAAATATCATGGATTAAATTATCATTAGGTCGCATAACTACTGACTTTCCTCTGCATTTGATATGCGTGCAAACAACTATCCCAGAAGAAGTCAACATGTTATTAACAGACAGTTTTTGAACTCATTTTGACAAATCATCCTGATTGATCTAATTCAGTGTTTTGCAGTTCTCTTGGTAATGCACTGAACAGCCACGCTTATGTGCAGGCTGACAGAGAACCCAAAAGAGGTGCTGAGTCAGCAGTTCTAAAGCTAATCCTGAGGTCAGAACCAGCTATATTTCAAGAACTGCATTATGAGTACATTGATCCTGTTAGCCATTGAAAAAGGAAAATGATGTATTTTCATTTACAAAAAATGTAAGTTCACATCAAAACTACATACTTAAGAAAGAAAAATTATTTGTTCAAAATGCCTCATCTCTTTAGATGACTTGTTTCATTTTCTTATATGCCTTGTCTTCCAAAATTTAAACCATGAATCAAAAGACTGTCTTTACGGAGTTACTTATTAAGAATGGCCGAAGTGTACTCTTTATGGAAGCAAACCAATTTGTTAGATAATGAAAGATGTTGTATATGAAAATAGTATGATGTTTTCAATAAGAAATATGCTTTTTGCCAAGATAAAGTGTTACGTTAAAATTAACATTTTCATACATACAAAATACTGGATTTTTCTGGAAAAAAAAAAATCCATTTCCTGAATGTAACATTTCACAATTCATTACATGAAGACCTATCATGCTGAGAACCAATGTGAAATTTAAGTATAAAACCATACTACAGTTTATTAAAATAATCCATACCTCTAATCTAAACACTTCATAGAATCATTAACCATCTTCAAAACTCTTTCCAAGACTCGTTTCAGATAAATGGGTTGTTTTAAAATTAATTCTCTTCAATTTTCTTCAAGTATATGAACTCATCTATAGTACATTAGACTGGCAAACTTTCAGAGCAAATTAAGGTGAGCAATGAAGAGTGATGTATGGGATTCGCTTTCCTACTCCCCTAAGACATTTTAAGGTAAATATTACATTAGTTCTCTGCAGGACTGACTGTCAAAAAACCCAATGATGTTTGTTTTATATTGCAACATACATATACTTTTGGCAAAGAAAGATGCTAATTACAAATCGTTCACAAACAAAACAACCCTATCTCAAAAGTGTGAATACAAAATCAAAATTCCCCATATACTAAAACGTTAAGATGCCATAATTGTCACCAAAGAGCAAAACGTTTCACTGTTAAAACTGTTGTCTGAAATTCCATGTAGTTCTAAACGACTTGTCAATAACATGATTTAGATGTTTCCTTACCTTGAAAGAGACATGTTGTTCCATATGACGTAGGAGCTGTGGTTTTTGGGCAGCTGTATAGTCACACACCGTACATTTAAACTGCTTTCCTGAAACGGGAATAGAAAATGGAATAACTTTTTTCTGTTTAAGTTCAGAAAACCACTGATTATATTTCCTCATAAAGATGCTTTCCAAAACACTAAGAATGAACAATACTAGAAAATCTGGTATTTGCTCTGCCAAATTTTGGTTACATAGAGCTAAGAGCAGTAAGGAAGAAAAAAGGCTCGAGTGTCATCTTTAAATTACAAGAATTAAACAGTCCAGATGCTCCTGGGATAGTCACTTGGGAAAGAAGAAAAAGAACTGTTAGAGCGTAACCTAAATGGAAGGAGGAAATCAATTATTTACAACAGTTATTTTGCTATTTGTAAAACAGACCTGGAAATCCGTAAAACACAGATATTTGATCATATTCACGTTTTTACCTACTTCTGTCCCAAGCACTGAATTCTTATGATTCAAACACATCTAAATTTTCTTGGTTTTTCCACTTTACATTTTCTTGATGTATTTCTGACAGGGTGTGACACGACCTATTGTTTTTCACACAAGATTTGGTTATGTGTTTAGCACTACTCTTCCAATAATGACTCGAACTATCATAAAAGGGTTTTCTACACTGTCTTAACCCTGAATACAGGAAGAAATAAAACGTTATAGATAAGATTAGAATGGCAAATAATATAGACGTTTTGAGTTTCGACCTTCCTCTTCTGCCTACACAATTTTAAAAGAATGGGAGCGAGTTGCTCCATCAACATCAGACTGAATGATGCCTGCTTGTCTTGTTCACCATGACATTTTGTCCTCTCTCACCTAAATCTCTGCAGTAACCCTACATCTCACATACAGGCAAGAGAAAGCACATACTAGGATTAGTTTACACTTTGTATGTGGTGACTTACACACTGGTGGCTACCAAACACTAGGGATAGTGAGTAGTAGGTTCTGTGATCTGTTCTTGAAGAGCGCTGATTCAAAAACCATAGAGCGGACCAGAAGAGGAGCAAAGACACTGGGTGCATATTTGCATAAACATTGCTCCTTCAGAAACCAACCTAAAAAGTCATTGAAAGATTTGAGACAGTCTCTGTCTGAAAGTCTGCATCGGAAGCAGGTCTTCTACACAATATAACACAATTGAAAAGAGTCAACGAAATTTATATATATATTGCTTTGCAAAAAAGCCATTACTTCAGTTCAGAAGTGTCATCCAAAGAAAGGTGTTACTTTAAGTTCTACAGACAAGACATTGTATTTGAAATTTCTTTACACGTCTGTGAGATGTCTAGTCAGGCATTAACACTGAAGGTACTAACCCTCCAACTAGAAATAGCAACAATAAAATCAAAGAACAAGAACTGGAATTTCAACTAATGAAAGCTGACGCTCAGAACATTCAGTCTAAAATAAAGCCAATATTTTTAACAGAGGGTATGATTAATAACTATGACAATTTACTTAGAACTCAGATGGATGTCCTGTCATACGAAGTCTTTAAATCAAGTCTGCTTAGCCCTTCCTAAAACGATACACTGCCATCCAGCAGAAATGTGATGCAAAATTATTAGATTATAGCCTGCACTCTGCAAGAGATCAGACTTCATGATGGTAAGAGTCTGCTTTTGGCCCTGAAATCATTAGTCTGAGTCTTTCTTAAGGCAAGATGGTCAGATTTTGCCATGATATATTTTCAGGATCCTCTAATAGAAATTAATTCTCTCTGACATTTTCAAGAAACATCTGTTGCTGTTTGTGGCTTTGCAAAGACTGAAACTCCCATACACATCATCATTCTGTAGGTTTCTCTTACTTTTCCTTCAAAGCATTCTCTCTCCCAAATCTTTTTTTTTTTTTTTTTTCCCCATATGATTTAAAATAACACAATTTCCTTCCTTTTTTTTCTCTGGTTTTCATACTCCTTTTCTCCATATTTCAACTTTAAGATTCTATTAGTCCTGCTACCTCCAGCCAAATTACAAGGTGCATTAAATACAGAAAGACTGCATTCCTGTATTAAATGCCCACGGCTGGCAAACTGTGTTCAACTGATGTGGAACAGGTATGTGCTAAAAACTACTCCAACAGCAAAAGAACCAAAGGAAGAACGGAGAAGTACAATACAAAATATTCTGTATGAGATATTTGTCCAGATTTAGATTCTGGATCTTGCTCAAAAAAGTTACAAGCATTTTATACTGAGTGTGAAAGTTTCCATAAAACACAGCTAAGAAAAAGCTTAAGACAATTTCTGATATCTGTTTAAAATAATGAAAACCAGGTTTGCTGGTTTATTTCTAATCACAAACTGTAACAAGCCTGGATCACGGAACTGTTTTCTATCATGCCACTCTTGAGAAGTCTGTCTTTTGGAGAAGAGTAAAGCAGACAGAAAACTACTTTATATTCCACTGGTTAAATTGACCTTGCAGGGCTGATATTTGAACAAAAATTGCCTGGATTTGTAAGTCAGGAAGACAAAACTCATAAACAGCGAAACATCTTTCAAATTCATTTATTTGTGAAATAACTGAAGAACGCTAGATGTGCACTAGTAAGAACTTCTGAAGTGCTGTCACTACAGAAAGGGACACTGGGCAAAGAGAAACCGTCAGCATTCAAGAGGCTGAAAGTCCCTTGACAAATCATGCACTACATTCCTGGTGACAAAAGTTATTTTTCACAAATGTCTGAAATGCAAGAAGAGTTTATTGGGGGGCACTTAGTGAGGAAAATTACGTAAGACTCCACAGATAGTAAGATTCTGTTCCCACTGAAGCCAATGGCAAAAAGCATTTTCCAAAGGTACAAAGAATTTCCTGGAACACTTCTGGAAGAGTAAAATGCAAGGCAAAAGAGCAGAAATGTTTATTTGTTTGGACCTGTGAAAAACGGAGGTGCAGGAAAAAGGAACATGGAGTCACCTCAGTTATTGCAGAAGACAAGGACAGTCTGAGCCAGATAAAAAAGGCTCCTGGTAATAATGCTGCCTTGAGAGCCAAGGTGCCAGCCTGACCTAGCAGTAAATGGTAAGAGAATACAGCTCTCCGCATGCAATTAAATGTTTAAAGCCAACTTCCCACCTTCAAACCAAACCCAGCCCAGGCGAGCTCCTGCACCAGCACAGTTCTATTCTTGGCTTCGAAGCAGCCTCAGCTGAATGGCACTCATTACTTACACACACACGTATTTCGTTCAAGAAATAAAACTAACTCACAGGTAAAAACAAATTCAAATTCCATGGCTGAATTTCACTATTTGGACATGCCAGACGGTGAAAACAAAACAGAAGGGTTTTGAAATGAAACCTCATGCAGAGATCTTTTACAGCACCATAGAAAGAGGTATTTTTTTTTTTTATAGTCTGATAGTGCTCCAAATTTCCTTTTAATTCAAATACAACCTGCGTCCTTCTGCCAGCCAGGAATCAGCTGAGGATTGCATTTGATAAGTAGATAGTATGTTGATTCTCACATAGGAAGTTCAGATATATGTGCAACATCTGCTTGTTATTGAACAAGTTATTTCAAAATATTGGAAAATATTTTTTGAATAATGAGTGATTTACTGACTCATGGTAATACTACAGTAATTTTGGTAACACTTCAGTAACTATATGCTTCCTATAATATGTATCATATCAATGTAAAAGGGATCATCTCTTTCACTAATATTATACACACAGATATAAGCATACATAAAAACAAATATCTGACAAAATCTTTATGTATATTCTAGAGATGTAGCTGAAGATGTGCACTTTCTGTGAAAGAACAATGCTAATGAATATGCAAAATTTTTTTAAAAAGAATTTAAATGAAATGGTCAATAAAGACGGGAATGAGTAACAAAGATGAAGCTCCTAAGTCACAATGAAAGTCTGTACAACTTATCCTGCTAAACCATTTACTTCACTTTACTCATCATAGAGGTAGAAAGTATCCCTGTGTCCCAGATTCTGAAAGGAAAGATTATTTTTTCTGGATTTGAATGTCACTTTTTTCTGTTATCCTCACAGAAATATTAAAATCTCAGAGCAAATGCACGTGCTGCATGTGTGCCTACAGGGAATATGTGCTCAGGCAAAACACAGCTTTGCACATTTAACTTGTGCTTACTTATTAAGTACTTAATGACCTGCTCATGCAGGTCTACGGACTACGTAGACCTTGGGACACAGAGGTGCAGCAAGCAACCTTGCCTCAAGTGGGATTCAGTAACTCCTAACAGTATTCTCACAGAAGAAAGCAGTAAGAGATTTAAACATGGAACTATTTGTATTTGCAAATTTCTATTGAGATCAACAGTTCTCTGGAAGAGAGTTATAAAGCCAACTCAAAATTCCAGAAAAATAAAGTATTCCAGAGACAGCTGTCTCGATTTTGCAAGTTTTGAATTATTTCACAATCAGTATCTCCTAGGAATAAACAAAATTTCTAAGTAGCACGTGCTGTTCAACCTAAAAATGATTATTAATAAGGTCCTACAATACAGTCAGTATTTATTGCCCTAAAATCAACCCGGATTTCATAAACATGCACTTACCATCAGCAGTATGAAGGAGCTTATGGCTCTTCAAAGTGCCTTTTGATTTGAACTTTTTCCCACACATATCACAAAGGTGTGTTTTCTCAGTGCTGTGACGATTCATATGGGCTTTCAAGTTACTCTTGCTGCGAGTGGCATACTCACAGACAGAACATTTGAAGGGTTTGACACCTAAAAATAAAACAAATACACTATGAAACAAACAAGCTGTACCTTTTGATAAGAGCGTGGACACTTGCTTGAAAGAAATTTCAGATCATGTGAGTAACATAGACAAAAAGGTCAAAATTTTAAAATTTGGATATTACATTTAAAAAAATTTCATCTTTAGCTTCTGTCTAAATGATACCAAGCTCTTGACAGCATCATTTAACTTACTAAGAGAAAGGAAGAGTTCTTTTAGAATTAAATACTTCCCCACTGAAGCCAGGTACTGAGCTTAACCAAGCATATACAGATGTGTTGGTCTAGGTATGCCCATCCTTCACCTAAAGTAGAATCCAGAGTGCCTACATTGGTGCCTAGCTGGTGTACCTACCAAGTCTCCCTCTAAAAGTGTTCAGACAACTATCATTCTCTATTCACTAAAATAAAGACTGAAGAAACCTGTTTTAGGAGGACTGGTTCATTAAGTACTTAATAAGTAAGCACAAGTTAAATGTGCAAAGCTGTGTTTTATTGCTGATTAGCATCAGATTTGCTAATGGCTCATGCAGTAGTATTTCCTCCCCCCCACCTTGGTAGGATGCAAGCACTTACAATTTCACTTCTCTCAAACCATCCAAAGGATGTAATAGAGAGTACATCATCTAGCAGAAGGTCTACAGGAACAAAGTAAATCCTTCAAAGTTGAATAAATCTGACCTGGCAGAGTAGTTCAACAGTTTCATGAGGCTCTGGCAGTTTTAGATTGATATTCATGACCTTAAAATTAGATTTACAAGCATGAGGAATTATAGCCTACTTTAAGCAGACTTGATTGCATACTTTGATTTTGGGATGAATTTCCATTCACTTCTTTCTCCTGCTAGTTAGATGAGACGGGTTCCAAGCTTTCTTGGCAGAATAAACAAACTGTATCTATGGAATATGCAAGTAACAGCTCTAAGCCTACAATTTTGCATTACGTAAACTCCTAATGGAGTAAAAGCTACTGGAGAGGACCACTGCTAAAGTACAGAGGCAGGTAAGATCATTGTTAAAGCATTCAAACAAATATGCAGTACTAGTATAAAGTCTGAACTACCTGCACAGGCACAAACACTTTGGAACCAAAGTATCAGGGCAGATTTAGATTAGATATAAGGAAGAAATTTTTCACTCAGAGGGTAGTGAGGCACTGGAACAGGTTGCCCAGAGAAGTTGTAGATGCCCCATCCCTGGAAGTGTTCAAGGCCGGGTTAGATGAGGCTTTGGGCAACCTGGTGTAGTGGAGGGTTTCCCTGCCCATGGCAGGGGGGCTGGAACTAGATGATCTTTGAGGTCCCTTCCAACTCTAACCATTCTATGATTCTATCTGTTTGACAGCACCAAATCTCATTATCCCCTTTATGTAGTGACAGCTACAGAATCCAAAATAATGCTCAAATCCCATAGGCAATCTGTTCCATAAACTGTTAACCGACTAAAGAGCAAAGGAGTGGTCTTCCACCTGTTATAAAAACAGACAGATTGAGTAGACTCAAGATTTTACTGTGCACAGATTTTAATTCCAAGGTATTTTTAACCTCTGTGTTGCTATATGACTGGAATTTCTCCCCAAAAAGACGTGATCAGCAGCATCTTACAGGTTTTTCATCACTATTTATGTCCATGTCAGCTAGCTGCCACACTCAGTATGATTTAATTAAAATATATACAGAATTTATATACATAGATGAAAGCAACTGGATTTCAATTGTTTTACTAATAGATTTCCAGATCATGTATTTTTGGACAAATGTGAAAAGAGCAGCAGTTATTCATGAGAAGTTATAGAAAATTAGTTGTTTTAAAAGACTGAGCATGTTTTTAATTCACTCCTCCACACTTGCATTTATTATAGAATACTTTACAGACAATTATGAAAGAGTTTTGGGGAAAAAAATGGAATCGTAAACTTATTATTTAATATCTAAGCTGTCTATTCATGGTATGAGCATGCAGTTCCATATGTGATCCAGAACCTATCAAACTAATTATTTAACCTCTACTGTAGCCTAAAGTTTTTGATTCAGCTATTTCGATAACTTTGAATTCCTTTTTTTTTTTGTTCAGCAAAGCTTGTGCGGAATATGAGACTGATTATATGCCCAAAAGCTTAAAACCAGAGTTTTACCTTCATGAGCCCAAATATGACGCTGGAGGTCTGATCCATTCTTCATAAAATAAAAATCACAGTAGGGACATTTCACAGCTCGTTTTCCAATAAGTCCTTTCAGCTGAACTCTTCTGCCAAGAATCTCAGAAATAGTAGACATAGAAACCTCTGAGAGAAAAGTTAAAGGTAATAAAAACCAGAAGGACATGAGGGAATTTGTTCTATGTTATATAAGTAATATTGAAGAGCTAGATCCTGAGTCACTCCAACTTTTTTAAAAGCTCTACTTCCCCAACTGCCACTTAGATAAGACCTGAGCAAAGAACATAAGGACTTTTTTTCCTTTAGAGTTTCTAAGATGTTCTGTCCTTCCTCTCCTGATCTGTGTACTCAATGCCCCCACTGCCTGTCTGAAGACAGTTCACTTCAGTGACAGCTATAATCATCAAAATGCCTGATATCACAAACTTTAAAGTTAAAAACAGACTAACAGAACAGATGTGATTGGAAGGTACCTGTAAGGTCACCTGCTCCAAGCAGGGACAACTTTGAAGTTCCAACTTCAAAGTTGCATCAAGTTTCTCAGGGTCATACCCAGTCCTGTTCTGAACATATCCAAGGACGGAGATTCTACAACTTCTCTTGGCCCATTCCAGTGTTAGACCACCTTTACAGTCAACATTGTTCTCCTAATTTCTAATCAGAATCTTCTTGCTTCAACTCATGTCCCTTCACTGTACAGTTCCAAGAAGATTCTGGCTCTGTCTTCTCTTTAATCTCCTTGTAGCTAGCTGAAGATAGCATTTAAGATTCCTCTCCTAGCCTTTGCTTATTCAGGCTAAATACACTCAACTCTCTAAGTTTTTCCTTCATACGATCTAATGTTTTGGTTGTCACAGTGAAAAAGCTCAAAATACTGAAGTTTAAGTTAAAATGTGCCAAACACAAACAAAGAAAACATTGCCAAATGCTTTTAAAAAATAAATCCAATTACTCAATGCATTTCATTTGAGTAAAATGCTATCACTTGACTCAACGGAAGTACAGCACTCATGCAATCTAAACATTAAGACATAAAAGCTGATGACTTATTATACCCAAAATTTTGTAAAATTTGAAAGTTATAGTCTAAGTTTTACCAAAGATGAACTGTCATACCTAGTCTCCTGATGATCCATCCCAGAGTGGATTCAAAATCCTGCCTGAACTCCTATGCACAAGGAAAACAACCTCAAAAGGGAAATATAAAAGCCCATGAACTGAGTAGAGGTATGTTCTAAAGTACCCAAAAAAGAAAAATATAGACACAAGTCTGAACCCTCATCTGCCTTCTACGGCTTAGATCCTTCACTCATGACTGCAGACTAGTATGTCTGCGCAGTAGGGACCTATGAAAGCTGATGCCTCTCATGTCTCAGAACTATTAACAAATTTCATATTAAATCAGCCAGTGAATGGAAATGTAGATAATTCTAAGAGATGGGCCCAGAATCCAAGACAACTCCTTCACTGCTGAGTACCCAAATCATTTGGGAATAAAGCCGAGCTCTCTCATCTCTTTGGTTTGAAATACTGCTCTACTGAAGCCTACAGAGTTTTTTGTCCCACTGCCTTCATGGGACCAGAATTCAACTCCTATTCTCTGCAAACCCAGAAGTGGAAGTAGTACTGTTCTATTTCATATTTTCTATTTGATGAAATAGAGACAAGAGTCATGCTGAATGATATTAAGAAAGGAAGGAGAAAAGAGCTCCTGAAATAGCATTTTAATGATAAATATGAAAGGGCTTCAGTTTAAATTAATTTTTGATATGTCGTTTTAAAATCCAATTCTTTTTAACAGTATCCATTTTTCTTCATCTTTACTCCTTTCCATTTACATTTTTAAAAACAACTACACTCATTCCACTGCTGTACTTGGTAGTTCGTACCATCAGACCCCTTACATTTATTTGGCCTGTAATTAAGTATGTTGTACAAATAAAGGACTTCCTCCTAATTACCAGGACAGCATGCGCAGGAAAAAGATTTGTTCATTAATTCTCCTCCATATATTACAAGAGTGTTCTTGCATAACTACTGCACAGGCCTACCTTAGATGTAGTTTGCTTTAGTACCATGGAGATATATCTAATAAATCTAGCATTTTTCTTCTAAGTTCTACACATGAATTAAAAATGAGGATACAAAATAACAGGCTGTGCAGATTTTCTTTTTTAATCTTACTTCTGTTATAACCCAGAGTTTAAAAGAATCCACTTTCCTAGACCAAAAAAATTAGGCTATATTTTTAGAGGGATTCAGATACCAAACAAATTGTTCAAAAGTATTTAAATGCATGAGTTTAGCATGTCAGGGCGCCAGAGTTAAATGGTATTACTGGACCCCAGACACAGCACACACTAATAATTCAGCAGTCAGTGGACAATACAGACCAATGGCAACCTGTAAGGGCACAGTACATAACGTACTGCTCGCTCACAGATCACATTATTTAGGGAAGCTTCCTAGACTCTCTGGCTGAGATAACACAAAGGCTTTATCGGTCCAGCTCTTGAGATTCAATTTCTGTGCTTACTGGGTGACATATGTCCTGATTACAGTATAGCATAGAGCCTTTCCTCCTCTCAATCTGCTGCATCAGACGTGTCCCCTGATGTATGACAAGCCCTCCAACAACACTGTTGTAGAGCGGTCTGCAAATAAAGAGGTTTGGTAACTGAAGAGCTAAAGTGAGAGTCAGTCTGAAATTAAAGCGAAGGAAATTGTTTAAAACACGGGCCTAGCACTACCTAGTGGCAGTAGGAAGATAAAAAACTACTGCTTTACAACTATTATGCTATATTTCTGACAAAGACAAGAAAAGTTACATAATTTTAAACGGATTTTTCCTTCGCAAAACTCTGTTGGAACGTGGCCAGTATTTTCTTTCTTAGTATTAAATTACGTAGATGAGTTAATTAAAGTAGGTTGGACAATGCAGTCAACTCTCCTTCACCCACAGTAGCAGTCAGCCTTTCTAGCCAGCATAATACAGATGCTGAGGAGGACAGCATGGACACAACCATGCGGCTCCGCCAAGTTCCTATCGGTCAGATGTAAATCAGTCCCTCCACCAGTCACTTGGGAACATTCACACCGAGTTGCCAAGGTTTAAGAACGGATTGTTTACTCAGGCACAGCACGCTGACTTAACACGTTCATTTTCTGTTGTGCTGGCACTTGTAAGTCAGGGTACCAGAATGCAAGGGATTGACAGAGTTTGAATTATTTATGGGACCAGTGCTATTTAACATCTTTGTTGGAGGCATGGACAGTGGGATTGAGTGCACCCTCAGCAAGTTTGCAGATGACACCAAGTTGTGTGGTGTTGTGGACACGCTGGAGGGAAGGGATGCCATCCAGAGGGACCTTGACAGGCTGGAGAGATGGGCCTGTGAGAACCTCATGAAGTTCAACAAGGCCAAGTGCAAGGTCCTGCATGTGGTTCGGGGCAATCCCATGCACAACTACAGGCTGGGCGGAGAATGGATTGAGAGCAGCCCTGAGGAAAAGGACTTGGGAGTGCTGGTGGATGAGAAGCTCAACATGAGCCGGCAATGTGCACTGGCAGCCCACAAAACCAACCATATCCTGGGCTGTATCAAAAGGAGCGTGGCCAGCAGGTCGAGGGAAGTGATTCTGCCCCTCTACTCAGCTCTCGTGAGACCCCACCTGGAATACTGTGTTCAGCTCTGGAGTCTCCAACACAAGAAGGACATGGAGCTACTGGAACAAGTCCAGAGGAGGGCCACGAAGATGATTCGAGGGCTGGAGCACTTCTGCTATGAAGACAGGCTGTTCAGCCTGGAGAAGAGAAGGCTCCGGGGTGATCTTATAGCAGCTTACCAGTACCTAAAGGGGGCCTACAGGAAAGCTGGAGAGGGACTTTTTACAAGGGTGTGTCGTGATAGGACAAAGGGCAATGGCTTTAAACTGAAAGAGGGCAGATTTAGGTTAGATATAAGAAAGAAATTCTTTACATTGAGGGTGGTGAGGTACTGGAACAGGTTGCCCAGAGAAGTTGTGGATGTCCCATCCCTGGAGGTGTTCAAGGTCAGGCTGGATGAGGCTTTGGGCAACCTGGTGTAGTGGAGGGTTTCCCTGCCCATGGCAGGGGGGTTGGAACTAGATGATCTTTGAGGTCCCTTCCAACCTTAACCATTCTATGATTCTATGAACGGACTGTAGTGGTGAGCTCGGATCCAGCCAGGCTTGTCAGCTCCAGCTAAACACCGGCCATACCGATGTAACAGCTGCTCCAAGTAAGAGCCCTGCTGCAGTGTCTAGTTGGCCCTGGAGGTCAAGCCCATCCACGCCCTATCTGAGCACGCAGAGTCAGCTCAGGGACCTCTGCATTCACCTGAATTACCGACAGACAAAATAACGGGCAACAAATGCATTTCCGTCAGCTTATGTATGGCCAACAGGAACTTTCTGTCTCATGGGTTATTACAGGATGTCTATATGCCTAATACCAAACTCGCCAATGCTTAATGTGAGTTCAGCTAAGTCCTCTTTTGGGAATTAGTTCTTTGCCAGATGAAGACAGATTTCTTAGCACAATTACTTGATATACTCCACAACACACAAACCAGAACAGTAACTTTTTTCCCTTCAAATCTTAACATCTGCAAACCCAATACGATTCTTACTCTAAACCAGTTAAATTAGACATAAGACTCTTCTCTTTCTTTGGAACATAATTACATTACACTCCCCACTCTAAACCTTTATCCATTTATTGCAATAGACCGGGAAATTTTCCTTGATTTTTCCTTACCAGGGTGATTTGTCTTGATGTGCGATTTTATAAGTCGATCTTCAGAAAATGACTTCTCACACACAGGACAGGAATAACTCTTTTTATCCTTAAGCAAGAAAGAAAGAAAGAAAGAAAGAAAAAAAGACTGCATTATCAGTCCACTGGTGTAATCACCATAATCATTATCCAGTAATACATGGTTCTCAACAAAGTTGTAATTGAAGGTTCAGTTTTTAAGGAAATAATGAAGATATTAATAGTGAAATAAGTGAAGGAGAAATATTAAAATATTCTAAGCACATCATTAATCCTCATTAATGAGGGGCTCCAAGTTACAGCACATGAGAATATGCACAATAAATGTAAGTATTATCTTCTGATTGACTCTTTAGAGAATCAAGAGTTGAAAGATCAAATCACATAACAGAAGAAAACATATTTGATATAAGCAGTAAGATTCACGTTTTTTTTTTCAGTTTTTCACAAGTCCATCCTTCTGAAGCCTAAGGATCAGGTCTCATTATTCTGAAGACATCCACCAGTTTGTGTATTTATCATACTATTGAATGGCCTGAAACTGAGCAGAAGAGTTAATGACAGATGCCATTACTTATTCAGTGTCTATGTTTCTAACTACTTTATAAATATTCAGCATTTTATGTATTATCGATAGAGTATTATTCTACTATTTTGATTTAAAACTTACAGACTACTCTGGCTTTTATCAGCATCACTGGTGTTATAAAAGGTTTAACACCATTAAACAAGTTGAACTGGAGTGTTTTGATGCAATTTCTTCCTATATGCAATTTTAGTGCAATCGTAATTTTAATGTTTTCGCAAACACATTTAACTCCACATAAAAATATAGGACTTTTCTTCATTAATTGTTAAATTACCCAATTTAAAATAATCTTTGATGCTTATTATATAAATTGAAGAGGTGGTTCTTTCCAGAAGCACCTGTTGATAAAAAAGACTGGATGCTTAACCAAATGAGTAAGTCATTTAGTCACCTCTGCACTGAGTAGATTAACAACAGATGGAGTGAAGTCTGGCTAGTCCTGACAACTAGGTAGATAATCAGGTAACATGTTACCTGGTGGGATATGTGTACCTACCAAACTAACAAGAGATGGCTGTAAAAGGCTAAGTGAAGCTACAGAATAGATATTTCACTAGTTATTTCAGGAGGACAGAAAACTTCTTGAAGAGAAGGGAAGGAAGATTAGTGTATCAAAAAGAGGGAGACTCCTGTGTTATGAAAGAGAAATTTGGAGATAACACGAGAATAAGGGTCCTGGACTCTACCAGTTTCTGAGACCAAACTGCATCTCTGAATAGCAAGGTAACATGTACAAGGTTGTTATTTTCTATATGCTGCAGTCATACATCTATAAATTGACATCTCTCTTAAAACAAAAGCAAAAATTGATGGGTTTTCGTCTCCAACGGGTTCTGGAATATGATGCAGGTGTTTGCATTCAGCATCATGTACCTCACAGAAAGCAAGCCCTATGTTGAAGTACCTACAAGTTAAAAAGCAGAAGTAGCCCCAGAATTCATGGGCTGAAATAGCAATAAATAATTTCATGACAGTAGGATATGGGATATGAAACTCTCATTGCCATTAATATGGCAATGGCACAAGGAGAATTCTGCCTAAATGGTTACAGAGTCATTTGCTCTTGCGAGAAAACCTGCACACCAGGGACTGAGGAAGGCAGCTTCTAAAGGACTACCAGCCTGAGTAGAGTAAGGAGAGCATCTTGCTATAATGGAGTTGGGGCAGTTACCATTTTGAGCCCTGAGAATCCCAAGTGAAGAAGGAATAGCAGAGAACACTAGCTGGTTTTTGGAAGAAGGGATTCAAGAAGGCTACAATGATGACAAAATCTTCTCAAGAAAGAACTGTTAATTTGCAGAATTAGGGTTTCTCAAATGATACAATCTATTATCCCTAAACGTGCTACTGATGATTTTGGACTTCTACACAAACAATTTGCTCAAATGAAAACTGGCAGATTAACTGTAATAAAGCTCAAAGCAATAGTTTCACCTTTTCAAAGACTGTGTTGCATGATCACATTCATAATTAGGCACATGTACAAAAAACATATGCACAGTGTTATTTCGGGGCTGTTGAGGGGCCAGCTGAGATGTGTTGACTGATCTCAGTCTGTTCCTCAAACTTGCTATGAAACTGTTTTCAAAATATACAATGAAGGGGGGGAGGAAATCAGTATACATTTAATGTACAGTTATGTGTTGCTGGTCTTTGATACTCATTCGTTGCATTAAGTATTTCTCAGCTGCCCAGAACACTACGACAAATACGCCTTGCTGTTTCATAAAGTTACATTAAAAAAAAAAAAAACAAACCTCCACTCCACACATACTACTTTAAGTAAAACGCTGTAATTGTGACTTTACATTCTTGTGATTACTATTCAGAAAGCAAGGCTATAAGCCTATGCCTGTGAGAAAAAAAAACAAATTCACCAGTAAATGCATCAAGAGCAATAGAGCAACACGACAGTACAGGCACCAAGAACACATTTTGCCACATGATGATGGTAACAAAATAATACCAATGGCCTGCTTCAAGCAGTTAGAAAGTTATCTATACCAAATTCTGCAGTAAATGATTTTCAAAAGGGGCATCCTTTGTAGCGTAACAGACTGTGCTTCCGAGCACACAGTCCCTTCAAAACGTATCTGTCAGGCTGCAGTCTCACAGAGAGTATCCAGTTGAAGCCAAACTTTTCTCAGTTGTTTATCAGTGCCACAGACTTTTAGAGTTTACGTTATTAGTTTTGAATGTTCAAGAGTACTTCTGTCGTTGCCCTGAGAGTCTGTGACAGCGCTAGTCCTTCAGTGTAATCCCATGGTTCTCAAAATCAGCCTTTAAGAAACCCTCTGTTGCAAACGATGTATTTCAGAGCACCCAGGAACAACATAAAGCCTCAAACAAGGTCTCCCCCACCACAGCTTTAGCTCTTCAGAGTGCCCTTGTCACAGGCAATGACGGAGACACGTGGAAGGAGGAGTTCGACTGAGGTTGTCAGAATACCTTCATCACATTCTCAGCGTGCAAGTCCTCCTCTGGTAAGAATAAAGGTTATTCATCCTATGCCTTATCAGAGTGCCTGCCTTTTAAATACTTTTGAGGTTTTTTTGAAGGACACAAACAGAAGCTAAGTATCAAGAGAGCAGGATCTACCCTTGTACCCTGATCAGCTGCATAGTACAATCAGCTACTTAAATTTCAAAGTCACTTCCACACTTTCTGAGACTTGCTTAATCCCCCTGTTAGCCAACTTGAGAAAATATAAGAAATTTTAAATAATTCCAAGATAAAGTTAGCTTTCTGGTGGAAAGTACTGTTCACATTCCACAAATCAGGAATTAATTAGGTCCATAAATATTCTTAAACTTAGTGAAAAAATTAGTCTACTACTATCACAGAATTCTCCCGTTTATGCTATGCTTCATTACAAAATAAGACTACTTACACAGGCATCACAATGCCTTTATAGAAGTGAATCAAAATTGTGCTAAGAAAGCATCAGCTCTATTGCATTACCAATTTATAGCTCTCTGAAGAGAATTTTATTTCTCTAAGGCATGTGTTTCAAGATAATTCAAGGGGTAGGTGAGTATACAGTTACAAAAAGAAAAATGAAAAGCCTCTGTGTATGTAGTATTTAAACCAATCACTATGAAGTTTATTTAATGAATCAAACACTACACTGCAAAACATCAGAAACATTAGCAGCTATTCTATTGCAATCACCAGTAAAGAGACATTCTGATGATAGAAACATCTCCTCTTATGAACATACACAGAATAAATATGATCATATATGATACAATCTATATGGCAATTCTGCCACTAATTTCAAAAGAGACTGTGTGAACTCCTGACTGCTTTGTTATCAATCTCATTAATAGTATAAAATTAAGACTGTGGCCATAATAAAAAGTTTAAGTTCAAATCAGGCAAATATGTTCCAGAAATCAACAATCCATTCGTTTCCTCTCCTTTTAGTAGTAGTGATATGATTTATGAGCAGGAAATAAAACAAAGCTCTACTAAATATTGGTATTCTGAGAGCATTTCCAGCAAAAGTTCCCACAACTCAAAATTAACACATTTGGTTGTGTAATTCTGCAGAGGAATAGAGAGCCAAAGCCTGCTCCTGTACCTACTCAGATCAACAGAAACTTAATCTCTAATGCCTGTGGGAACAGAATTAGGCCCCTGAGTTACATTTCTGAGGAGTGAAGATGTCCAGATATCTTCACCACAGTTGTCATGATGTTCAAATCAAAATTTTCATGGAAGATTCCCAAATTAAGCTAATGTCCCATTAAAATGCAACTTAGCTAAACAGATCTGATGTACCCAGGAGGCAGCTATGCATATGTGTGAAGGAGGCTACAGAAAAATTTGCGAATGGTTAGACAGATTTTTATGAAGCCTGGCAAGCAGCAGAAATCACAGCTCACAAAATGACAAGCACCTGCATACCGTATTGCTTAAGCTTAAGCGTTTTTCTGGGGGAAAAAAAAAAAACAAAACCAAAAACCAAAAAAACACTAGTAAAAATGAATGGCTAGCTGACATTCATTATGGAACCAAGGACCAAGAACAAAAGCTGTTATCCAACTGAATGCCCAATCATTGGACCATAGATTTTTTGGTTAATTCCCTTTTGTCCTGGTTTCAGCTGGGACAGAGTTAGTTCTTCTTTTCAGCAGCTGGAAGAGCTCTGTTTTGGTTTTAGTCTGAGACTCATTATGAGAAGGACGCTGACAGCGCACCGATGTTTGTAGTTGGCACTGAGATCTCAAGGACTTTTCAGCTCCCCATGTTCTTGCCAGTGTGCAGGAGCACAACAGGCTGGCAGAAGCATGGCCAGGACAAGGGGCCACAACTCCCCTTATGATTTGAATTTAGACTTAAGATTAACGGCTACGTTGACCAATGAATGACCAATATCATGCAGCATCATGCCCAGTATAGAAGTGAAGGTCAGTCAGAAAGAAGGGCTTTTGCTCTTCCGGGGCTCTCACTCTCGGAGTGCTCTGTCTCTCTTGCCCTCTTTTCGGGCCTCTCACTCATCCAGGATTGTGGTGTCAGGACTTACGTGTTTCGGGATCGCTAGTCTGGGATGGGATGGGCCTTGGTTACTGGGTGGTGAGCGATTACACTGTGCATCACTTGTTTGTATAGATTATTATCATTGTACATCTATATATTCATATATTAGAAGCAGTTCTTTAATTCTCTTCCCCATCCCCTCGGAGTGAGGGAGGGTGAGCGAGTGGCTGTGTAGCGTTGGCCGGCCTAACCCATGACACCATTCCAGTACCTGGCACTCTTGCCTACATAGTGGCAATTCTCCAGAGGCCAAAGTATCACAGCCAGATCAGTAACAGTCTGAAAACAAACACTCTTCAGGGGGGCAAATAAGCAATTGCAGCTCAAGCATCTCACTTCCTACTGAAAGCTCCAACTACTCTCTTAGATGAAAGGTCAGAAGCATAATCAAATTTCTAAGCGCCCATCCAAAGACAAGAATAATTTACATCCAGAAATGTACATGAATGCAGACGTAGGCACCTAAAAACAAGTGGTGTTTCTGGGTCTGAACTCCAGTTTTACAGAGATGCTTATCTTGGAGTATCAGTTATGTACATAGATTTAAAACAATTTCAGACACAAACCTCTCTGTGACATTTATTTGCTCAGAATATTGACTATTGTAAAACCCACAGGAGGTTGTGAACAAACTCTGGTACCTACATCACCATTGTTTAGTTCCACAACTGGTTCCTTATTTTCACCACTAGTTCACTCTTAACTATATATTATTCAAAAGTCATTATAAACTGCCCGCTCCTTTCCTAGGTACTATGACATTGAAGTAATTCACACATGTCATGGTTTGAACTTCTAAGGAGCTCCATAAATGCCAAGAACTGTCAAAAACCACTATGCAAGCCTTAGAGAAAATCAGAGAATATACACAGTATTTTGGTTTTAAATCAATCCAAGCTTCAATTCCCAGACTTCAAAAGTAAAAGTCTTCCCTGTAACAATGATGTGTAGCAAATGCAAAAGCAAGAGGCAGAACATACACACTCCCCATCATCATCCCCCAGGGAATAAACAATCCCAAATTCAGTGCAAGACTTGGACAGCACAGAGAGAATAGGATGGGTGGCTACACATGGAGTGACAACAAGGATGAACTGCTTTTTGATAACCAGTATTTATCCTGTTCACCAAACAATACAAGTATCCAGTTGAAATGCAGCCAGCAACAAGGTAACCAAAGATATGCATTCATACCAGGAACTCAACTGAGAGTTTGAGATCTTCTATCTCCAGGGAAGCTTTCATTTTAATATTTATTAGGAATTGATTTTGCAAACTAAAATTAACATTGCAGTAGCTTTCCACACTTAATTGTGCATAGTTTGCTAAAATGCTACATTTTGGAATGAGTGGTCCTCTTCAGTGAGGTATGCATTAAGTAAAAACACCAAGCAGCAGGCACAAAGGCTGATATGAGAACTGCAAAGTTTAGGTACTGAGTAAATTCTAATCCATGAATTTCTCAGTCCATTTAAATACTCCAATATATTTGACAGTAATCACCAGTAAGCATACTTGTGAAAGATCTCGCTGTCACACTGTTTTAATTAGGAAATGTATTTTCTCGGTTCTATCATGAAAAGGATCCTCCTGGTGGGAGCTGTCGGACATCCATCATGCTTGAAAAACAATGTACTTATGTAAGGATATAGGATATCTAATTTTAGAATTTTTTTTCTTAAGTAGCCTCAGATATCATTTACACAGACTTTTGCCATCAGATGGACATCATAAACATACTAAATTCAAAAGCAGCCTAAGAGAACATCTATTATGTCAGCTTCCTGCACATTTCATAACAAATACAGACTCTGTGTAAAATACTACAGAATCAAGGGACAAAAGGAGGAAAAAACGTTCCCTTCTGTGTCACCTGTTTTGTTCTGTGTTTTAAAGCTGTCCTGCAGTTACAAAAGATGAGTATTTAACAACAGTAGGAGAAGTGTTCTGTTCTGTTACAAGCACCTTTAAGGTAACTTCAGCTGTTGGAAATACTGGCCAAGAGTCCACCTGCTGACTGCAGAAGATGTCCTGAAACCTCTAAGCACTGTATGTTAACAGCTTTTTTTAAGTAGTTATGCAGAAATTGTCCACATTTGGGAAGAAATTAACATAAATCCTTAATTTAAGCATTGGTTTCATTAGTAAAAGGAAGTGTAACAACAATATTCATCACGGGACTAAGTGAGTTGTGACGTTGCTTTCTCATGCGATGAGGAGGGATGTGTCATACGTGGTGCATCCCACCCAGGGTTCCTAGGATCTAGTTACCAGACAATGCCAGCGAAAACCATAATGCTGTGTAAAGAATGAAGAAAGGCCCATCTGTGTGAATGTTTCCTTTTCTTAAAGAATAGAAGAGTGAGTGCTGCAATTAACCAACTGGTATTTTCTCCTCTGCTGGAATGAGAATAAAAACAAATTCAGGAGAAGGGTAAATCACCTTTCGTAGAATTGTCTGGTTGGAAGAGACCTTCAAGATCATCGAGTCCAACCATTCACCCTGCACTATCAGGGTCCCTAAACCGTGTTGCTCAACACAAAATCTACACGGTTTTAAACACCTCCAGGGATGAGGACTCCACCACCTTCCTAGGCAGCCTGTTCCAATACTTCACAACCCTCTCTGTAAAGAAATTTTTCCTGATATCCAACCTAAATTTCCCCTGGCGCAACTTGAGGCCATTCCCTCTCGTCCTGTCATTCATAAGGTGGGAGAAGACACCGACCCCCATCTCCCTACAACACCCTTTCAGGTAATTGTAGAGAGCGATAAGGTCCCCCCTGAGCCTCCTCTTCTCCAGACTGACCAGTCCCACCTCCCTCAGCTGCTCCTCATAGGACAAGTTCTCTAAACCCTTCACTAGTTTTGTTGCCCTTCTCTGAACCTGCTCCAGCACCTCAACGTCCTTCTTGAAGCAAGGGGCCCAAAACTGCACACAGTACTCCAGGTGTGGCCTCAGCAGTGCTGAGTACTGGGGGACAATCACTTCCCTGCTCCTGCTGGCCACACTGTTTCTGATACATGCCAGGATTCCGTTGGCTTTCTTGGCTGCTTGGGCACACAATCGGATGTCGACCAGCCCCCCCAGGTCCTTCTCTGCTCTGCAGCTTTCCAGGCACACTCCCCCAAGCCTGTAACGCTGCAGGGGGTTGTTGCGGCCCAAGTGCAGGACCCGGCACTTGGTCTTGTTGAACTTCATACAGTTGGTCTCAGCCCATCGATCCAGTCTGACCAGGTCCCTCTGCACAGCCTCCTGACCCTCAGGCAGATCAACACTACCTCCCAATTTAGTGTCATCTGCAAACTCGCTCAGGGTGCACTCGATCCCCTCATCCAGATCATTGCTAAAGATGTTAAAGAGAACAGGCCCCAACAGTGAGCCCTGCGAAGTATTTTACTGCATAAATTATTAAAAACACAAATTGCAAGGATGTAGTTCATGTCAATTTTCTGGCACTATCAGTCAAGAAAATTTAATTACAAATGGCAAGCTTGTCAAACATTTTATGAAATCCTAAACTGTACTTTATTCAACACCAGTATCTTCATATAAAATCATATGAGGTTACACGTTCCACCTAAGCACTCCAGATGGCCTTCAGGAAAGACTACAGTCAAAAGTGGACTAAATGCATTATTTCAGGAAAGCAGGCACTTTTCAAATATCCTTTCCTAGAGGTCGATTTTTAATGGGAAGGAACTTACCTGTGTTCATATACTGTTGTGACTGTATGCACATTATAACCTCTCTGGGTATACACAAGTCTAGAACATCCCAGATCAACTATACCTTGCAAGCAGAAAGGGTCCTGCCACATGGTAGAAAAAGAAGGCAATACTTGTTTTTTCTTAGTCTTCCAAGTAAAGCATGTAAATAATTTCACCTCTAAAAAAAAGCATCTTAATCAACAATGAAGACTAATATCTTATTCCTTAGTTTTAAAATATTTCATATTCTGAATACCATAATATATTTTTAAAAACATGCTTTTGAAACAAATGGAAGCAGAGAGAAAACATTTTTCCTCAAAAGATTATTCGTGATAATGTTGGATCACAGCAAGACCACAAGTGGTGTCTTGCACAAAGAGGGCTTCCAGTCAGGCTCTTGCATAGTCTCAAAGAAAACATGTAACAGGACATGTTGAAGAAGCAGACCAGACCTGTTTTTAACACAATGGAATTCAGAGCTGGAAAGTTTACTGAATAAGATAGGAGTCTTTACAACATGACCTCTTCATCTTTCTAACTACAACAGAAAATGATAGATGTTCAAAGAGATTGGCTGCAACTAGCTGGAGCTATTTGGAAAAAAAAGAATTCTTTTCAACAACTTAAACTTCATTTGTCTATGGTAATTAAGAGAGGAACATATTTTAATTTTACCACAATCATCTATTCGTGAAGGAAGGGAATTCAGCTCCAAGGAATGAAGTAAAGTCACAACAGTATCAGACTTCATTTTACTCTCTTAGGATTCAAAGAATCTGAGAATACTGGGAAAATCAAAGGGAGAAAATGGATACAGGCATAGTCTACTGGAAACTACTACTAGAGGGACCAAATATCCAGTCACTGTAACTCATGTATTCCCTGTACAGACGTAGGCAGAGAGCGCTCAGGTAACAACTCTTACCTATGTCTTCAAATACTGCCACACGATTCCAAATATTATGGCAATGACACGGAATTTAGACAAACAAAATCTTTTGTTTGTTACTTACCAGCTCTGTGTGAACTTTAAGATGTGCCTGGAGCTTGTATTTATCTGGAGTAGAGTAATCACAATGTTCTGTGGGACATTTCAGCAAAATATTACTGTGCTTCTGAATGACGTGACGCTTAAGGCAGTTTTTCGTGATGGAAGAATAATTGCACTGGGAGCAGTAATATAAGTGTTCTCGAGTGTGCGTGCGAACATGCATGTCATAATGCACTTGGTACCAAAACAACTTGCCTGAAAATAAAATTAGACACGAAGAAAGTCATTTCTAAACAATTGTGAGTAAAAATTCCAACACATACTCAGTTTTCTTTTTGGGAAAAACACAGTTTGAATTCTGTCCCTTTTGTCTTTAATGAAAACTTGTCCTAAAGACTCTTCACTACTGAAAATATGTTTATAAAACCACTTATGTGTCTATAAAGATTGTGTTACATGCCCTGAAACAGACTAACGAGGGCAACCAATGATCTTTTTCCTAATGAGGAAGTCCTTTAAATCTGTTCTCCTATACAAAGGATCTGAATGCAACTATACACTAAAAGAGACTGTCAAAATCTTATTTACTTCCTTTCATGTTATTCCTTCCTAAAAGCTTTTCTGACATAATGGCATCAAAATGAAAAAGTGCACAGCAAGTCATCTAACGTACAACATTACAGCGTTCCAAAATTTTTTTTTCGAACTTTGATTCCTTTCCCTTCTCAAGGACAAAGCCTACAAAATAAACCCCAAATTGTTTCCTTTCCATCTTTGCAAACACAAAATTTTTCAGTTAGAATAAATGAGAACAGTGTATTCTTCCCACTTCCATAAACTGAAAAAAAACCAATTGGAACAGTCTTTATCTGATACTATGTAATGAACGTTTTCATCTCAAAAAACTGGTTCAAAACAAGCCACAAAAAAAAGTCAGTATACCTATGTATTGTACAGAATGTATATTATCATACATCCTTCCATACTATATGAAAAAGACTCTGGATTTTATACTAAGCTGATAATGAAGATTAAGCATTAAAGCACGTGCTGACTAATGCTGATCATCTGCCTAAATCTGCTGTGTTTGGCCCTAGTGAAAGTTAAGAGGTGGGGAGAGGCACATGGACGGAAATAATCTATCAAATTTCACATCAACAGAAAATAGGGCCTGGCACAGTATTGCTATGGTATGTTCCGGTAGAGGTTTTTTGAGGAGATTTGGTTAATTTCACACCATTTATACAGCCCAAAGTAAATCTTGTTGGACCCCAGAATCCCTAATGAACTACAAAATTAATACTGCTACAAAGATACACAAACACATCAAAAATGGAACCAGTGGAGCAGGAAAAAGACAGCCCACTATATAACATGAAAACAAAACCAAAAAACAACAAACCCCGTAATTCTACTACACCTTACCACAATACTCGCATTCCAAGTCTCCATAAACTTTCCTTATCCTCTCACACAACTCTGTGTTCATTTGCCTCTTCTGCAAGCTATCCAAGATCTGCATGAAGGCAACAGCTCCACTCCCACTGTCGGATGTAACTGCATTGGAAGAGGCTGCCTGTGGGCTGATGGCTGCATCAGCTCCTGGTGCTGGCAAAGGGCTTGTGGTTTCCGCTGAGTTTTGAATTGGTGGATTGCTTGTTTCGGATTCACGAGAAGGAACAGACTGACTTCTCTCTTCAGAGACGGAAAGGTTCTCAGTCCTTGCATTGTTCTGACTCGGATTTGAACTTTTGTCTTCAGACAGCAAAAGCTGAATTTCTTCACTCTGCTCATTTACAGAACTGCAGTGATTAACTTCCTCTCCATTTGCAGGAGAAACTTTTAACTCATCAGAACCAGAAGTACCATTTTTCAGCAGAAAGCAATCTGATGCTGCACAGGATGGAACGTTTGGGACTGCTGTGTCTGTTGTCTGACACAGCGTCTCTGTTACATTTTCCACCGGTGGATTTTCAAATTCTAACAAAGGGACCGCATCAATTTTTAAGTCACCATTATGTTGACCGTTATGGTTTACATCTGCAGCTGTTGATTCACCTTTACAAGCAGGTGGTTGTGGCGTGTTAATAGCATCAGTACTCGTGACAGTCAACTCATCTGCACTTTGTGTTAGCTGTTCACCAAGGGCTTCTGGCTGGATATCACCTCCTGGCTCAAGAAGGCAGAAACTCTGATTGATAGAACTGTTAAAAACAGACGTTTCGTGCAAATCTGCGTGCACATCTTTGATGTGAGCACGGAGTCTTACAGAACTGACAAATTTCTTCAGGCACACAGAACACACGTAAACAAACGGGTGTTTTCGCACATGAAGCTCAAGGGCTTGGTACTTAGTGGCTCCGTGACCACAGAGCTCACAAGCAAAAGGCCTTTCATCACCATGAACAAGCATATGACGGTCTCGATCGAGTTCATTTTTGAATTTGCGCTCACAAATATGGCAGTCATAAAGAAGTTGTCTTTTGCCCTCTCGTGTCATCAAGCGAAGCTCATCGAAAACATCTTTCACTTTCTTATCTTGAAGGTCATGTGTTTCCTTGATGTGCTTGATCAAATTTTTAACATCCGAGTATTTCTTTTTGCAGAAGCGACAATGTTGCTTGATTTTCTTATGAACTCTTTCAATATGGACTTTGAGATGGCCTTTGCTGAGGCAAGTGAACGTGCAATAATCGCAGCTGAACTTCTCCCCTGTGTGCTTCCGCATGTGAACATTCAGGTTGGCTTTGATTGCGCTGGCGTAACTGCAGCACGAACACTTGTAAGGCTTTTCGTTTGTATGAATCCTCAAATGTGCTTGGAGGGAGTGCTTAAATTTGAACACCTTGTTGCAGTATTCACACGTAAAAATCTTCAGCTGAGTTGGACCCAACCTAGAAAGAAACCAAACCAGTTTGAAACAAACCAGTTTACAGTATTGAAACTTACTGACATAATATGTCAAAATTTCCCTAGATATTCATAATGGACAGAAATGTTTACTTTCGTTTATTTTAGAAAGGAATTCTCCACAGAGAGAATCTTTTTAAACTCTACAACTTACGCACAGATTATTTTCAGCTGTTCCTTTATTTAAAAGGCTCAGAAAATATTTCAGTTTCACGAAAATGGATAGGGAAGCATTTTAATGACATTTTACATGAAAATAAATATAAGTACTTAAAAATTACCTGCTAGATTTCATTGCCTGTTCATATGGGGTTTGCTGAATGGCATATTCTTGATATCCTCGTCGTTGTGATGGCTCTTGAACTGTTGTCTCTGGACTTGTGGGTTCACTTTCTTGGGGAGCAGCCTCAACGGGAACAATTTTTGTGGCTCCTAAAAGCAAAACTAAAAAATGTTAATTAAAAATGTCACATTAAAACCTGCATTGTTCATAATATATGAATATAAACAAGACATTAAACTCTGTAATTATTAGCTCAACTATTTTAGTTTCTGTTGTTAAATTCATGTGCATAAAATGATGGATACACTTCCAGAAGACATTAGTTCTTACACCACAGATCTGCTCAAATTACACGCCAGGACTGCTGGTTCTGAGGGTTATTCATGGTGCTTGATGCCTTCTATTACAAGATCCTATATCCAAGTATTTCCACCTTTTTCTGTTTCTGCCTTATACTACATCCTTTGAAAACTTCAGTCAAACTGTTTCATCAGTTCCACAAACAATGAACTTTTCCTCACAAGGCTGGGGAAAAGACACAGTTTAGTCCATATTTAAAAGTCTGCACATCTTTCCCTTAAACAGATCTTTTACTGCTTATGTTTACAAAATACATGCAGTATTAACATAAAGTCTCCGAAACAACAATTATAAGAACAACAAAACTTAACCACAGAGAGGACAGTGTCCAAAGAAAACTAGCTGGTTAGCAAATTACTAAATCTAGTTTCCTTAAACACTTTTAGCCTATAGACTAGTAAAAGCATCAGGAAAAAAAAATCAGGTAAAGTATATGGAAAAAATCAGTAATACGTGGTGGTTACCCAACAACAAGTGTGAAAGAGACATTAAGTTGAAGGAAGCGGTGCCATAGACAAGAGGAAAGAGAAAGATGGAGATCCTCTGCGTCCTTTGAAGTGATTTAAAGTGGGAAATTGAGATATTTTCAGAAGAGGCCATTTGGGAGTATGTAAGGCTATTGAAGCTTTTTGTATCAGATGGGACATCAGCCAACTCTGTAAATAAATAGACAGTAATAGCTCTACTGCTCACTGAACTGGCTGGATCTAAAAATGGCTTTTTTTGACTACTGTTTTTTTAATAATGCTTTCAGTTCTGTACTAAAGATTTTGCCAATTTTCCAAGTTTTCAACCTAAATGTTACCAGAACATGGTAACTTCTATTCTTCCTGTCACTCCAACTCCCACAAATGCCGGGTTGCCCAGCAGGACTGCATCTCCTAAATTACACTGCAGTAGGCCAGTGAGATGGGAGCTTGTCACTACAGTACAGGAGACGTGGTTCAATCAGTGGGTTCAGTATAAAGATAATAAAACAGACATTAGACACTAGACCAGTGTTCCCATACTTCAATATTTTTTAAAATAGAAGCAAATTCTTCCATATTTAGAATGACTCCGTTAAAAGAGATCTGGAACTGCTCTATATGCATGGCTACCTCTTTCAAGCCTCCCATTTCCTGAATGTGAGACAAAGATCCTCATTAAATGCTCTGCACTAAACCTCCTCCGTGCCCTTCTGCCTTTCAGGATGTTTAAGCTCTTTCTGAAAAGACTGTTGAACTGTTTAATAGACTTTTGTGTTATCAGTGTAAAATTTTAATTACCTAAATTAGGTGGACTAGGTAAGTGCTAACTCACCAGTATTTCGCACGCTTGAAGTGGACAGAAGGCTCCATGTCACCCTAACACTACCACTGACATTCCCCATGCAGTTAATAGAAAGGTAAACACCCGTAAAAACCTATAGATGAAGATCCAATTCTTTGAACATGCTGACAGAGTACTTGCTCTCAGTAGGCAATCCCGTCCCCTCACACTAGGTAGTTACTTTCTACCCTTAGAAGATACAGAAGCATTAAGAAACATTAGATGCCTCCATCCACTTGGGATGCTGCCTAAGTATAGGCTATTAATGGACACACAGCTATAAAAAACTTGGTTTCTAGGCTCTACTCAACCTAGTAGGTAGTGAACCCACATGTACCATGTCCCAAGAGAATGCCCTCAATATTCCTGTCTCTAAAAGCAGCCACAGGCCAGGGAAAAGTGTGAGAACAAGGCAAACAGATACAAGGTCTGTTTTTCCATTAAAAATATCATATGCCGATAAGGAAGATAAAAGTTTTCCTGACTGTTTCCCTGGATAATCATTTCAAGAAGTCAGAGCATACACATACCAGGGGAAAAAATGAGGTTCACTGTACTGATCATTTCTTTAAAAAAAATCCTTCCTCTAGCACTATTATGCCTGTATTTTAAATGCAGAATGGACTTTAGTTTACTAGATTTTATCTATGCTTTTTGCTTTCCTTTTTGCAGTCAATATCATCTGTTTTAAGTAAATCTGCTTTAAAAGTAATAAGATTTGAGTTCCTCATGACATTCCGACAGCAAATTCTACAGATAAGTATTACTCGGCGTGCCTTATCTCTGGCTCAAACTCAGTGACGGCCTCTAATCTCTTAGTCTGTCCCTCAGAAAAGTAGCTTGTCCTTCACTATAGAGCTCTCCAATATTTATCAACAGTCTAAAAGGTAATCACAACGGAAGGAATTAGTAGTAATAGATCAGAAATAAAACAGGAGACATCATCAACCAAATTCCTACTAAAACCCAACTAAATTCATTAAACTTCCCACAACTTCAAGTATGGACAACAAAAAGGATACAGAAGAACGACAAAACAGTAGCAAAGGTAAAATAAGAAGGATTTTCTTTGGAAAAGGGATACATATCTCAGGGACCTTCAGCTTGGAAGAGAGAAAAATGAAAGAGAAATATCAGAAAGACCTCTCAAATTAGCAATACTGTGAAAAAAGTGTGAATAATCATTCTCTATCTCATAAATCACGAACAAAGAGCAGTTTGAAGAAACAGGCAGTCAGCAAGGTTAAAACAGAAGAATGTACACTTTCATCCTGTAAGTAATTTACAGAACAATTACTGCACAATATTACAGAGAGTGAAAATACAGATGTATTCAAGGAGGGATTTAGACAAATTAATAGATTTGTATTAAATATGACAACCCAGATGCAACCACCAGCTCGATGGCTGTCATAAGCTGGGAGGCTTTACATAATACATTTCTTACTTCCTTCCTATAGGGATTTTGCAAGCTGCCTTTAGAGACAACGACTGAGCCAACTACATCAATCTTTAAGCTACAGTGCATTTCTTTTCTTTTTTTTTTTTTTTAAGTTTAAAAAAACCTTCACAATGTAGGTACCTTGGTCTGTGTAGGTGAAATAATTTGTTGTAGGTATGAAGTGAATATTTGTTTCCTGCAATCTCTTTTTGAAGGAATGTTATTTTGTCAGCTTCTACAATATCGTATGGAATGTTCTACGTATGGAAAGCTGCACAGCAGAGAAGGACCTGGGGACGCTGGTCGACATCCGATTGAACATGAGCCAGCAGTGTGCCCAAGCAGCCAAGAAAGCCAACGGAATCCTGGCATGTATCAGAAACAGTGTGGCCAGCAGGAGCAGGGAAGTGATTGTCCCCCTGTACTCAGCACTGGTGAGGCCACACCTGGAGTACTGTGTCCAGTTTTGGGCCCCTCACTTCAAGAAGGACGTTGAGGTGCTGGAGTGGGTTCAGAGAAGAGCAACAAAACTAGTGAAGGGTTTAGAGAACTTGTCCTATGAGGAGCAAATGAAGGAGCTGGGACTGGTCAGTCTGGAGAAGAGGAGGCTCAGGGGGGACCTTATCGATCTCTAAAATTACCTGAAAGGAAGTTGTAGGGAGATGGAGGTCGGTCTCTTCTCCCATGTTATGAATGACAGGATGAGAGGGAATGGCCTCAAGTTGCGCCAGGGGAAATTTAGGTTAGATATCAGGAAAAATTTCTTTACAGAGAGGGTTGTGAAGTATTGGAACAGGCTGCCCAGGGAGGTGGTGGAGTCCCCACGCCTGGAGGTGTTTAAAAACCATGTAGATTTGGTGTTGAGCAATATGGTTTAGGGACCCTGACAGTGCAGGGTGAATGGTTGGACTCGATGATCTTGAAGGTCTCTTCCAACCAGACAATTCTATGATTCTCCAAATCCATAGGACGTAAGACAGTTCTGAAAGCAAAACCAACAGAAACTACCCGTAGCCCTCAATGTTCCCCATGCAAACCTACCCCTCATCCCCAAATTAAAGCTTAAAAAAACCCCAGAAGAACCTTTTAATACTTTGATAGGTTAGCTCACCATGAGGTTAAACACATTTTAACTCAGGCAACAAAACAGAGACACAGACCTGTGTATGGTGTGATAAAGATTACTACACCCTTCAACAGAGCAGGACATTAGATTGGCTGAGCTAAATCACTCTAATACTACGGTAATATAGATACGTGCTCACATTCAGAAGGGAAAGCTTTCATTTTCCTAAACTGGCTTAATTCCACATTTGCTTTAAATCAGCACAAGGTTAGCTTCTTTTCTTTAGCCCTCCACTCATGATGCCTTCAAAGTGCCAGCACAGGAGTTTATGAAGATGAAGACCATCAGAGAAGGGATTTGCCAAAATCTACATCATGTGTCTCTTTCTGAAAATATATAATTAGTTTTCTAGTGTTTTAACACACAGCTGCAGGAACATGTACAATGCTCCAAAGGACAGTAATTTGTGGCCAAGAGGTAGGGTGGGAGGACAGCACAGCACTGCCCCTGGGACAGCAGTCTATACATACTGAGCATAACGATTTGTTATTTTGTCTATTTTATTTTGTATGATTTGTTATTTTGTCTATAATATTTTGTATATTTGTTAAAGCAGCTACTCAGTTGCTTTGAAAAGGGGTAGTCTTAGTTCTCTTCCTTTCCCCTAAAAGACTCATTTTGTCACCCCTTTCCAACTTTCCAAATTTGTGCAGCCCCAGTGTGAGACAGTTCAGTAAGCAAACCTGGTAGAACAAAAAATTATCTGAGAGAGAAAATGAGTTTGTGCATGTGCAGGTGCACACGTATTTTGCCACTTCTTTGATTCAGCTTACCACAGGCTGACACAAGCACTAGTATGGCTATTGCAACTGTGGCTGTTGCCCAGATTGCCCAGCTGGATTGAACTGATTGATTTCCTAATTAAGGTTTAGACCCTGCCTACAAAAGGCAGGCCATTCATCTAATTACGT